AAAAAGAGAAACCATCATTTAAAAGAATTTGTTTTAAAGAAAAAACAGAAAATTCAATGAGTTGTTTTGAAAGGATTTACTGTAAAGCTCTCGTTATGCACTCTGTGGAAATAAGGGTCTGAAGAACTGTGCCAAGTCATAAATAGAGACTCCATATCCTGCGTTTACCACAGACACGGCAGAGCTTATTCTAAGCAAATGACAGATGAGTAGAAAGTACGTAGACATTCTGGCAACCGTGACATCCTGTTATAAAGCAGCAGCCACAAGTAGCAATCAGAAGCCTAATATCAACACAAAAATCTTAATAAATGTCACAGCTTTATAACAACAAGAAAGAGTTGCTGCCTTGTCATATAAGGAAGAAGGGAAAATGGGAAAATACACATGATCAGCTCATTTGTGCAAAAGCACGGAAGAATAAATTACTGAGATTCAAAGTGTGCGGGAACCAGGGAAGAGGCGATGGAACAGGAACAGAAAGGATGGAAGTGTAGTGGTCACTTCTCTGAGTACATCTCCTTGCAGAATTCTGACTTTAGAGTTATGTTAATGCTTTATGTACTCAAAAAATAAAAAGTATTACAATATCTTTAAATGGGTGTCAGCAAACGAGATCATAGCAAAACAAAAAGTGCCACCACCCCAGGTGAGCCAGGTCCCCCTGGACCAGCCCCAGGGTATCCTGGGGACGATCCCCAGCCAAACAAGGCAGATTCATTTATCCAAAACCCATACTGGACACCGAGGAGGCGCTGGTTACTAGCTGGCACCCCTGGGGACACAGCTCTGACAACAGACCCAGAGTCCCCAGCCAGCCTGATGGGACCCTGCACTCAAGTTACAGACCTTAGAGACCCTTGTTTCCTGCAAGTTCCCAGGACCCACGTGCCTGTTGTGTGTGCAGTTTTGCAGGAGAAATCTTTACATTTTAGGAAAGTCTGAAAGGAATGGGGGAGGGAGGACTTCTGTTAACCACAGATGGAAAGAGTTTCAAAAAATACTGTGCACAAATTCCTTATGATTGTGCAAGTATCACACTGCATGGGAATACTTTAAAACCCGTCTCCTGGGCAAGAATGGGGGAAGAGCAAAGAAGGGCTGAGACCCCTCACTTCCTCCATGCTCGGGGCTCAAAACACTGTGGACCTAGAACTGGTTTAAGTGAGTTTTAGGCTGTGTGAGCTGAGTGGAGTTAAGCAGGCCCATCTCCATCTCATTTTAGGAACGGAGAGAGGACACCTCCACTCATGAACAGGAAATGACCCCCCCACACACACACACACACCTGACACCACACAGTCCGGGTGCGCCACGTCCTGCCTGAGAACCCCCGGACTGCCCAGCTTTTCTGCTGGAACTCCCAGCCCAGCTTCTTCTGACTCCTTCCGGACCCCCAGCTTCCGCAAGTCGCTCAGGCCCACCTTACAGCAGGGGGCAGTCCCTCCTGCGGCTGTGGTTGCCACGGAAGGGAAGGGGCAGATCAGCGACATTGGTGCCCCTCTCCCGCGGGTGCTCTCCGCCCCCCCCCCCCCACACACACACACCTGACACCACACAGTCCAGGGCGGCCACGTCCTGCCTGAGAAACCCCGGACTGCCCAGCTTTTCTGCTGGAACGCCCAGCCCAGCTTCTTCTGGCTCCTTCTGGACCCCCAGCTTCCGCAAGTCGCTGGGGCCCACCTTAGAGCAGCGGGGCGGTCCCTCCTGCGGCTGTGGTTGCCATGGAAGGGAAGGGGCAGATCAGCGGCTTTGGTCCCCCTCTCCCGCGGGCGCTCTCAGTGCGCCCTTGCGCTGAAAGGGGAGGAAAATTGTGTGTTGGGGGTGTTGGCGGGGGAGCAGGAAGGAGGACTCCAGGAGGGCCAGTCCCAGGCCAAGGAAAGCGCTGGGAGACCAGACCCCAGTGCAGCTTCGGGTTGCCAGTTTGCGTGGCATCTCTTCCTGTAGGGTTGGGCCAGAAAGCGCTGGGAGACCAGACCCCAGTGCAGCTTCGTTGCCAGTTTGCGTGGCCTCTCTTCCTGTAGGGTTGGGCCAGCGGGAATTGAGCGCCTTTCTCCAGGTGTGCCCCTCTCCAGGTGTGCCCCCTCTCCAGGTGTGTCCCCTCTCCAGGTGTGCCCCTCTCCAGGTGTGTCCCCTCTCCAGGTGTGCCCCTCTCCAGGTGTGCCCCCTCTCCAGGTGTGCCCCCTCTCCAGGTGTGCCCCTGGTGCCCAGGGGCTGAGCCCTGACCGCCCTTTGCCTAACAGAGACCCGCATTTGCCTCACTTGCGAGGGGTTAGAAAGTCTTTTTTGTCCAAAATCTCATTTGATTCTTGCAGTAAGACAGAAGAGAAAGGCAGGGCCGGGGACCTGGGCGCAGGATTTGAACTTAGGGCTTCTGATGCCAAGTCTCTCCCAAGGTGTCTTCCTTCTGTGACTTCACAGACGTGACAGAATTCCACCGTAGAGTGGGGCGCTGGCTGTGTTCACCGCTTACTGTTCAATCTGGGGTCACCCGCAGCCCCAGTGTGGAAGATGAGGACCAAGCTGAGCTGCTGGTGCAGAAAGGCCTGGCACCAGCTCGCCTGTTCGTGGTCCTCTGCGTGGAAATGCCCTACGTTCCAATTCTCTCCCTGTGGTGTGTGTGTCGGGGGAGGGGGGGGTGTAAATACCCACCTACCAGACCTTTGCCTGAAACTCTGTGAGGAGGAGGAGAATATATTTTTTTTGAAATCCTGGGATGTCTTTTGAGCATTAAAGCCTCTGATTAATTAATGCTTGTTTTACTTATTTATCCCAAGGAAATAATCCAAAATGTTGACAAGGATAAAATCACTAAGATGCTCCCTGAGCCTTACAGTGTCAAAAAATTAGATATAGTAGATATAGTGTAACAGCATAGACACAGTGTATTATGGTTCAACCATAACATGGACATTATACAGTATTGCCATTTTAAGATACATGTGTAAAAACTCTAATAAAGGTCTGGACAAGCTTATGCTGTAAATTTAAAATTTATAAACTCACATGCACCCATATATGCAAAAATATAGAGAAGTGCACTGAAATGTTAGCTCTGGATGTATCATTGTTTTCTTTCCAACTTTTCCTTATTTTCCAAAGTGTGCATGACTTTTATCATCAGAAACAAACTAAATAAATACATGGGTCATCGCAAGATTTTGACATTTCTGAAGACAAAATGATGTCCCTTTCAGAAAAAAAAGGAGGAGTGCTGTTTGGGCAAAACCAGAGTCTGGGCCACCCTGACCTTGCTGAGCTGGACAACCTCAGGAGTCGCTTAACCTCTCTGATCTGATTCCTCGAAGGAAAAAGAAAAATAGAAGCTGGAACTCAGGAAATAGCTTTGACGTAAAGATTAAATGACACGATGTACAAGAAATCATTGCTTGACTAAGCCATCCAATTTGCTGAAATTTTATGTAAAATTTTTTGAGAATTTTTGCACCCACCAGCCCGGGCAGATGAGCCCAGCTTATCTGAGTTTCAGTAAATAATAACACCCATTCTCGCATTTGCCTCAAAGGCTTATTTTAAAAACATTTGACCTAAAATCCCCAAAAGAACCCTAGTGAGATCTCATTTTGATTTTAAAATATTTTTAAGCAACTTAGATTGTGCTAACTGAGCCGTGTAGCATAAGAAATTACAACAGAGGACACTTCTTGAAGGTCTCATACAGTTATCACAACCATCCTCTGATGGGCATGTTGTTATCTCCAGTTTTAACTAGTCAAAGCTTAGAGAGAAATACTTTGCCCAAAGCCCACAACTCGTACATCCAGAGCAAGGCCAGACTAGCTGGCTCCACCTGGGCTGTGATGGCCACTGCACCACATGGCCTCCTTCACCCGGTAGCTAACGCTCATCAAAACTCCCCCACCCTGGAGGGCGCCGCATTCACAGTCACCCGCGCACCAAGGCAATTTTAGGGAGAATGTGGGGGGAGAGGGGAAGGGGACGCGGCTCGGGAAGTGGAGGGCTCGGTGAGTCCCACCTTCGCCTCCTCCCCACTCACTGGCCAAGCCTGCTAAGAGCCTGGGGATCCCCCCCAAAAAAAGCTCCCCTGCCCTTTCTTGGCTCCGGGGTTGACATGTTCCATCTGTGCAGTGGCGGATACGGCTCTAAGCGAGGCATTTCCACCTCCGTCTAGGCCGCGGTGGTCAAGACTCGCTCCTCCCGCGTCCAACCTTTGCTCCCGGGAAGGAGCCCCCGCCGCCGGCCCCGCCTTGAGCCCAAGAAGACTCCCGGGGGTCCCTCCAGCCGCGGTGCCCAGCGATCCCCACCCGAGCTCCTCTGCCGCAGGAGCGGAGAGTTAGGCGAGTGCCAGGCCGGAAGGACCAGCTCGGGTTGCCAAGCCAGGGCTCCATCCCCCATCCCTGCGCGTCCTCTTGGAACGTCCCCGCGGACCCCGGGGTGACCTCCGAGGATCGCGCCGGTACCGTATTTACCGAGATTCGAGCCTCGCGCAGCACCATCTCTTCCGCTCTCCCGGCCTCTGAGAACCATCGATATGGACCAAGCCTCCCCAGAAAGTGGCTGGGCTTGCAGAGGAATTAGAGGGGGGCCGGGGGACAGCGCTGGGGGTGGGGGTGG